AAAACAATAACAGGGACGTACTACGCATCATTGCTTGACAAGCTGAAGGCAAAAATTGAGAAAAAACAACCGCATTTGAAAAAGAAGAAAGTGCTGTTCCATCAAGATAACGCACCGTTTCACACTTCGGCGGTTGCTATGGCAAAAATTCACGAATTGCGGTTCGAATTAATTGACCATCCACTGTATTCACCAGATCTAGTCCCCAGCGACTTTTTTCTGTTTCCTAGGCTCAAAGTTTGGCTCGGAGGACAGAAATTTTTATCGAACGAGGAACTTATCGCATTCGTAAACGCCTATTTTGCAAAGCAAGACGCTCAGTATTATTTGAATGGATTAAAGGGGTGGGAGCATCGCTGGAAAAAATGTATCGACTTAAAAGGAGATTATGTAGAAAAATAAAATTGAATTTAACCGAAAAATTACTTGTTTCTATGTTAGGCCCAAAACTTTTCAAACGACCCTCGTATATAATAGAATACTTTACAGCAAAATGATTATAGTTCTATTCTTTACTGATTGTTCTTACATCTTTAATTACTTGTACATGTTTTTTATACAAAATGTAATTAATTTCTCTGTCATAAAACAAATAACTCTTATGTCTACAAATTACTATCCCGATAACAAATTCTCGGGCGGTCTACTCGTATCTTCTCACTAGAGCCTCCTATAATCAGAGTTTGTCGAAAGCGGGCACAACTTCTGATTGATTTTCCACTTTGATCCAGTGGTATTCTCCGGATAGCTTCGTACATTGTCGAAAAACGAGTTTAAAGAAAAAAAAAGAGATAGATATCAACAAGCAGATGATCACACAAACCTGTGTCAAAGAGGTTAGAAATTGCTCCGAGATCTCAGACAAAGAGAAAATTAATAAATTACAATTCGGCCAATTAATCAACTCGGTCGGTTTCTTCGAGTGTTGTCTGTCACATATATGCATTGCCTGTTACATATTTTAACACTTTGCACAGGCGTTCATACGAGAAAGCGATATCTGTTATTTCTTTCTATCCGTCCATTTTTAGTCCACATTCTTCAAATTCTGATTACACAGTGCGACAAAAAAAAATTGTCGGAGCGCGATTTTGAATCTGAAGGTTGATTGTGATAGAAGAAGACGTCCAAAACAGTACACTATGCTCGGTTTTGCTTTATCGCATCTAAGTTTTATTTAATTGAAGTTTGAAGTTAGCTAATTTTTGACTATAAGAATTACCAAAAAATGTAAAAATGAGAGTGAAGGGAAGCTCTTTATCGTGTTCCTCGGAAAATTTTACTAAGATATAATGGTCTGGATATAAAAAGTAATGACTTCAACATTTAAAACAGTTGATTTTCGAATCTGAAGGTTGATTGTGATAGAAGGCGTTCAAAAAATGTTTGAAATTGGACTGAAGAATATCATCCGACAACCATTTCCTTTTGTCCCGGCAGAAAGAATTCTGATTCCTCTACGAGGAACGCTTCACGTGAAACTCGGCATTGTAAAGAACTTCATCAAAGCGCTAGATCCTAAGAAGCTTTTAAACATTTGACCGAAATTTTCAAAAGATTTAATTCATTGAAAATCAAGGAAAGTAGGAATCAGTGTGTAATTGTTTAATTGCCTTTCATTATACTAAGGATTGTTCCTTGCTTCAGGCATATGAAGCTCAGTACAAGTGAGTTAATTGCGTGGTGACCAATCAAAGATGTCATGGCGAACGTGCTGAAGAAACATCGAGCGAATGTCATAAATTGGACATTATAATAAAAGCTTTCGAATGCATTGGTATCCACATATCGTTAAAAATTCATATTTTGTATAATCACATTGAATATTTTCTGCATCAAGTGCTAACCGAATCGTACGAACAAGGTGAGCGCTTTCACCAAGTAACATTGTTTTTAAAAGAGCGCTAAAAGGGAAAAAAATTTGACGCCATGATCGCTGACTTTTTTTACTGGTTTTTGGATGAGAGTAAAAGCAATACGTCTGCGTAAATAAATCAATTTTTTTTCAATATATTTCTTTTTTAACTTGTTTTTTTATAAAACAAATTCATTACCGCAAAATCGGCTGTTTTAAGTCAATCAAATCATTACTTTTTATAGACGATATCTTAGTAAAACTTTCCAAGTAACACGATAGAACCGCTCCAAGTTCCCCTTCCCCCTCATTTTTACATTTTTTGGTAATTTTTATAGCCAAATATTGGCTAACTTCAAACTTCAATTAAATGAAATTCAGACTCGATCAAGCAAAACCAAGCATAGCGTACTGTTTTGGACGTCTTCTTCTATCACAATCAACCTACAAATTCGAAATCGCGTTCCAACAATTTTTTTGTCACTGTGTTATAGGATTTCTACTTCTCACCATATAAAGCTACCTCGAGTACGTGAGAACTAATCAGTTTTCGCAAATGCAGGAGACGCAGAAGAAGTGTCATCTGCGATATTGGACACCATCAGGGGTAAAAGCAAGCCGGTATCTTGGTTGGTAAGCAACTGCTATGCTAAAAGTGGCCGACTGGAATACGTGAAGGAACTGTCGAAGCACATAGACGTCGATGTTTATGGCAAGTGTGGCGAATTTAGCTGCTACCACAACTGTTTTAAAGATGTAATCGAGACCAACTACTTCTTCTACCTGTCTTTCGAAAATTCCTTCTGCGACGATTACGTGACGGAGAAGCTGACGAATCCGCTCAGGTAATAATATAACTTCAGATAACGAGAAATCGTTATCCGTAACCAGCGCGTTAAGATAAAGACAATCCAACATATTGCGAGCTGTTTTCCCTGATAGTGATATATATAGCAACTATAAATGACCGCTATACAAGTTTTATATATAACTGTAGCCTTCAGTTCTTTACCGATTATTTAAATACATATTATTTTGTATAAACGAAGATATAAGGTAATTGGACTTTATATGGCCTACTTCAGTTTTGCGACTTAAAAACTTTTTTACTGAGTCCAAAATTGAAAACTGATATATGGTAAGATTAAAAAAAGAAAACATTTCTGAGCATTAAAAAATAATGACATTCTCCAATATTTACATGGATACAGTAAAAATTTTTTTAAAAAGTAGTATTTAGGTCATATTGGATACATGTAATTAAGGATGCACCAGATATCAGGAAAGTACTCGGTATTCGGTATTATCCGGCACTTTTTTACTATTCGACCGGATATCAGTATCTGGGAATAGTATATCTGGTTGAAATTTATTATCATTAAATTGTTGATTTCTTGTTATACAAATGTTCTAGAAATAAGTATGCATATTAATGATGCTGTAATATCTTATACATTATTGCAAAATTGCAATCTTTTCCTCTATAGGATTGTTTTTAGAACACTCGAATATCCAGGAAATGTCGGACATCCGACTTGAAGAAATTGCCTTCTAGGATATCCGATCGGATACCGGATATCCAATGTTATATTCTGTTCGGATATCCGATATCCGGTATCCGTTAATTTTACAATCTGTTGTATCTCTAACATACAGGGTGTCCCGACCTTTCTCGCCAATCATTGTTGTGTAGATAGAGTGGATTAAACTGAGTCGAAAAGTCCTCTACCATTTTGCAATTTTCGCAATAGTGTTAACAAGATATTAATTACTAAAAATTGCAAAATATTGGTCTTGAATAATTTTTTACTCAAATACTATCAACTTTACAGAAAAACTGCAAGAGACAAAAATTATTTATTTTCTTCTCATAAAGTTCTGCGTATTTTTTCAGAATTTTTTATCGACTTTTTAGTATCGCATTTTCTTATTTTTACCAACATGAGAAAATACGGTATAAAAAATTCTGAAAAAATTCTCAGAACTTTATGAGAAGAAAATAAATAATTTTTGTTTCTTGCAGTTATTCTATAAAGTTGATAGTATTTGAGTAAAAAATTATTTAAGACCAATATTTTGCAATTTTTAGTAATTAATATCTTGTTAACTATTGCGAAAATTGCAAAATGATAGAGGACTTTTCGACTCAGTTTAGTTCGCTTTATCTACACAAAAGTGATTGGCAAAAAAGGTTTTGATATCCTGTATATATGCATATACAGAGTGAGGAAAAAGTACCGGGACACCTAAATAACTTCTGAACGGTTCGAGATAGAGGATTGATGTTTATAGGGATGCAAATGGCATCATAAAATCTATCATTTAATACCAAAATCGCCCATTTTAACATCCCCGTGGGGCGGGATGAAAAGAGGGCGGAAAAATCTTAAATTCACGTGGAATCGAGTGAGGGCTCGTTTGAAAAGGCCTTCCAAAACAAGAACAACGCGTGATGTTCCAAGTATCTGCGATTTTTTTTCGCAGAGTTATGATCATTTAAACATTGAGATTTCGCAGTAACGGAGGACTCACGACGAGGACGTGAGAAAGATTTTGTGTGGGCACATGTGGATAAAAGTGCATGTGGTGCGTTCGTGCGTGCGTGCGGGTGGGTCTCTGTCTCTCCTGTGAGACACATTTGCACGCACACGCACGCACGCACGCGCGCGCGCGCACACACACACACCACATTTCTTCCCATATGCACTTTTATCCGCACAAAGTCTTTCTGACGTCCTCGCCATGAGCCCTCCGCTACTGCGAAATCTCAATGTTTAAATCATTATACGAAAAAAAATCGCAGAAACCTGGGACATCATGCGTTGTTCTCGTCTTGGAAGGCCCTTTCAAACGAGTCCTCACTCGATCCGACGTGCAATTAAAAATTTTTCCGCCACCCTTCCCCGCCACCCTCAGGGGGTGTTAAAATGTACGTTTTTGGTATTAAATGATAGATTTTATGATGCCATTTGCATCCCTATAAACTTCAATCCTCTATCTCTAACCATTCAGAAGTTATTTAAGTGTCCCGGTACTTTTTCCTTATCCTATATATATACACACATATAGGGTAACTTCGATACATACGCCGCACTTATTAAAAACTTAATTTATTAAGTATTATTTACTATGTTTAAAGTAAACGAATCAGTAAAAATTTTGTACTGTCTACTATATTATGAAAAAAATATTCGAAATCCAAAATATTTATATTTCGTATTAAAAAATGAACTTTTTTAAATCTTTGCATTTTTGCCGTAGGGATGGGATGTATAGCTACTCATAGGGGGAGAGGAGTATGTACGGCTCATGAAAAATTTACAAATAATGCATATAAATAAAACGTAAAATGACACAATAACTTATAAAATGCATTTATAAAGTTTTATTAAGGAATAAGAATGATAAATATGTATACGAAGTAATAAATATTAATTACAATCTTCCTACATATATTATAAGTGTTATGACATGAATTTAATCTGCGCACTTGTATGCTTTGGGCATAAATCCCGCCTGTTAAAAATGCCATATATCCTAAACAGGTGGGATATACAAGACAACAAATTAAATGTTGACAATGAATACGAAAGCAATGCACTTGTATTTTGCTACACAACATGCTTTATTATTCCATTACACGTATGTATCACATAATAACTACTAAGTCTTTTATACGCCCTACATTAATCATTTAATGTAGATTATAATTTATGATGATGCTACTTGTTACACACACACTGACAAATCGATTCAACTCACAATAATTTAATTAATATTAACAGTAAGAAGCTGAAATTATAACTCAATTTTATTATTCAGGTTATTTCCCCAGAGAGACAATACCTCTCTGGGGTGATATAAATATAAGCGGCTATGCCGCGCGCCAATAAAAAAATATATTTATTGCGGGGGACAAGTGCCCCCCGCCCGCATGGGCTACTAAGACTAAAAAACTGGGGGGCAAGCCCCCCAGTCTTCGCAATCGCATCACAGTATTTATCATCCCCCCAGCACGCAAGCTGGGGGGATACGTTATCACAGATTAGTGCTCCTCCGGGATATCACAGAGGTGTCGTCAAAAAAATAAAAGTCCCGGAGGAGCGCGCGCAGCAAAATAATACATAATAATAAAATTAATAAGTATAGATCGCGCACATTCACACTCGTATAAAATACAAAAAATCGCAACGCGACATACATACTCGAACAGTCAGGGCCCCACAAACAGATAATGTAAATAATAAAATAGATAAAAGGCTAAAGATTTAAAGAAAGAGAGTACAATAGTACTTAGAAGAAGAAAAAAGAAAAAAGAAAAAATAGAATAAAGAATAAGAAGAAGGATAGAGTAGAAAGAATTAGAGATTAAAAATAGCATATAGCTATACAACAGTAAAAAAAATACAATAGTACATAAGATAAATAAATAAATAATTAAAATTAGCAGAGAGGCGTCCCGTCCAATAGTCAATGAACATAAACAGTATATATATATTAATAAAATAGGCGAATAGCGCCAATAATCACAGATATCAATAAATAATAAATTGGACATTGGGACACTCTCTCTGCTAGATT